CATGAGCCTTTTACAAAGAACATTCCCTAGAACCCCCAAGCGTACCTAGTAAGAGCAGACTTGAGGCCACTGCGTGGGCTCCTGGTGGTAAGTTCAGAGGTGGGACAGGGATGTCTGTCACCTCTACAGGACAGAAGCAGGATCTGCACAAAGGCTGTGGTAGGACGCAGATGGAGCCAGCCTCGTGGCAGGACTGTGAGGCTGGAGCAGCTCAGAGGCTGGCTAGACAAGTGTTCCATGATCTAGGGGAAAAGAGACATTTTTAAGTTTTTACTCTGACTCAGGGCAGAGCAAGTGGATGATGATCTTTGTGGCGGGCTCAGGAAAGTCTGTCAGGCAAGTTCTCTAAGGACTCAACCCCGGTCTCCTGAGAAAATGCACAGTATCCTAGACTTGAGTGTCAAGTAGTCCGCTCTCTGGTCCCGAGAGAACTCGGTGCTTGTCTGCAGTCCAGGAAATGAGAGCTGCTTAAATTATGACTGATCCTTTTGTGATTTGGTTTTCAGATGACCGTATAAGTAAGAAGAATCAGTGTACAGAAGCTTCGGACCTTCAGGTACCTCTATATTGTCAGGGTCTGTGAAAGATATAATGTGGTGAAGGGTCCAGAAGCAAAGGCCAGAAGAGCAAAGGAGCAGAAGCTCTCACGCCTCATAAAAACAAATGGCTGCCCTGGCAGGTTTGGCTCAGCAGTTGCAGTGTTGGCCTGCGGACCAGAGAGTTCCGGGTTCGATTCCCGCTAGGGGCACGTAATAAATAAATAAATAAATAAATAAATAAATAAATAAATAAATAAAATAAAACATTACTAACCCTTAAAAGAAAAAACAAAAGGCTGATTGTACCACCAAACCCTTAAGTATCCTTGGTTTCATTTTCTATATTTTTTAAACTTTATTATTATTTTGGTTCTCATTCTCATATTAATTTACCAATTTAGTAATCTAGAGCTACTGAACCTATCTATACAGTCATAGGAGTCTCTGGTACCACGTCTGATTTCCCCTAGATCTTTAGAGACCAGAGTGACATTATATCTGATTTCTTCAAGAGTGACCCAAGGGGTGCTGACAGATGTTAAATAGCTACAAATTTCTCTTGCAAAAGAAAAAAATATTTATACTGTATGACTCCACTTAGGAGAGGAAGCCTAGAAACTACATCTGGAGGCTACATTGCCACAGAAAGCAGTTTTAAATGGGCCTCCACAAATACTATTTAGTGGATTATGTTCACTTAGTGTGTTGAATTTTCTTGGGCTTCTGGGTGTCTTGTGAAAAATCATGACTATTATTTACTTTTTTTTTTTTTATCCTCATTCGAGGACATTTTTCCATTTTTTGTTCAGATAGAGTGGAAGGGAGAGAGAAAGAAACATCGATGTGAAAGGGACACATGGAGTAGCTGCCTCCCGCACAACCCAACCAGGGCCGGGGACAAACTGCAACCGAGGTACATGCCCTTAGAGGGAACTGAACCCAGGTCTCTCTGGACCACAGGCCGACGCTCTAACCATTGAGCCAAACCGACCAGGGCTCATGACTATTATTTAAAGGGCCAATGGGTCTCCTCTCTTCCTGAGGAGTTTGTGGCCAAGGCACCAGACAACTGTTGTTTTTCTCTGCCCCCCCTACTCCCGGCCTCCCACCCCACCTCCGTTACCCACACAGCAATGAACTGTTTGGCTTCTTCTTGAAAGGAATGGTCTCCTTGACTTCTGGGGCCTCTCCTGTGAGTCCCAAAATCAGTACAGCTGTGGCATTCAGGTGACCTTCATTTTTTCTTGTTTTTCTTCCCCCACCAGTATCTTAAGGAAGATGAGTAAGATGGGCTGAGTGACAGAAGTGTTGGAGACCAAGAAGAATGCCCAGCTCCAGACTCAGTTCCAGATCCACTCCAGCAGCCGTGCCCAGGCGGCGCCCACTGCTCCCCAGCAGCACCTCCCCACTGCTTGATGAGCAGTCAGCACACCCTATGGTGAATATGGCCAGTAAGTAGCAAGATACCCTCCACTTTCTGGGTGTTCGCTCATTTGTCTAGACCAAGAGGAGGCTTCTTTGTAGCCAAACCCTTCAGATCCGCTGTGATGTACCTAGTTGAGCACAGGTTTGGGACTCAAGGCCAAGCACATGTCCCAAAGATGTCAGGAGGCTTTTCTCCACGACTAATCCCACATGTCATCAGCCACCAGAACCCCTCCTGCACATACGTAATGTTGGACTCTAGGGACAGAGTTGTAAGTTGGAAAAGGGAGGGACACATGTTCTCTCCACTGCAACACAATCATGTCATCTTTCATGTCATCATGACACGAACGTTACTAACATTGTCTTTCATCTTGGAATCCCTGGGGCAAACAGCCACAGTTTCTATTTTCTTTTTTTTCTTTTTTAAATCTTCACCCAAGGACATTTCCACACTTATCTTCAGATAGAGCGGGAGGGAGAAAGGGGGGAAGAGAGAGAGAGAAACATCGATGTGAGAGAGACATATCGAGTGGCTGCGACCCACACAACCCCAACCGGGCTGGGGACAAACTGCAACCGAGATACGTGCCTTTAGCAGGAACCGAACCCAGGACTCTATGGTCCGCAGGCCGATGCTCTAACCGCTGAACCAAACAGGCCAGGGCAAATTTCTATTTTCTACTGATCACTAAATATTCTTTATCATTTGTGGGTTTACAGATCCTATTTATCATTCTAATAGTTTGGCTATAATATCCTCTAAACCGTTAGTAACTGGAACATATCTCAGGGTCAAGCTGAATCTATCACCATCAGGCCCCACCCCAGAGGGCCCTTGGGTAGCATCAGTGGAGACAGGAGGAGGAGAGTAAGTAAAATCAGACATTTAATTTCCCTTCTGAGAAAAGCATTTGAAGAAAAGCATTTTAATTTTTAGGCAACTGTATGAGTCAAATCCTGGTGTGAATAATACCAAGAAACCATCCTTAGTTTCTGGCTGATTTTTTTTTTTTTTTCTGAACTATTTTAGGCAGCAAATAAGCCATAATGCCTTTTTTTTTTTTTTTTTTTTTAAATCTTCACCTGATGATATATTTTTTTCCATTGATTTTTAGAGAAAGTAGAAGGGAGGGAGGTGGGGAGACAGAAAGAAACATCAACGTAAGAAAGACACATCAATTGGTTGCCTCCTGCATGCGCCCTGACCAGGGCCAGGAATCAAACCTGCAACCCAGATACATGCCCTTAACCAGGAATCAAACCCACGACCCTCTAACCTGTGAGCCACGCCATCCAGGGCAAGCCAAAATGCATTTTGACCTAGTACTATTCCTGTTTCTCATTTTACCCTGAGGAGCAAAGCAGTGTAGTGTTTACCCCAGGATTCTAGCAGCCAAGGAAAGACCAAAAAAAAAAAAAATACACATTTATTGAGCGCCTATTATGCTCACATTATTGACCACTACACATATGCTGCCTCATTCAATCAGCAGAATGATCCTCTCAAGTGGCTATTAATGTCCTGACTTTATAGCACATCTGAGGACATGGAGGCTCAGTCAAGTCAGGGAACTGACCAGAGACAACCCAGCTTGGGATAACATTCACCGCAAGCCTGCCTGACTGTAAAGCTCAGGCTGTCCATGCACCTTGAGCAGTCAGGGACCAAACAGGGAGGGAAATAATCCCTTTTGCTAGGCTTCTAAAGCCAGTGTTTTCCCTATTCCACTCTTCTTGCCCCCAAGTTCAGCACAAAGGTCTATCCTCTGCAAATAAGACAAGACCCTATACACATTACACTTCCACCCAAGAATTTATAAATGGATGGACTGCCCTTGGCATGTACATGAGCTCTTCCAAGGGGCCCAAGGGACTTTTATGTGCATCCATGAATTCAGTTGCCCAGAGACACTTGATTTCACCTCTGCACTGCCCTGAGAGACAGCAGGAGAAGGGAGAGTACACCTTCCCCTCACCTGCAGTTCCTGCCACCACCTGCAGGAATGGTCACACTTGAGATGTGGTCTTTGAAATGGCACTGCCAGAGAGTATCAGCCTTATTTCCTGCTATCTCTGTCTTCCCTGAGGGAGACTGAAGGCCTTCTCTTCCCATCTGAAGTCGTTATCCTCTCAGAGGGATAATGGCTTATCATTAATTAGCATCTGGTTTTATGTAAACTGGTGAAGGAGAGACCTACTGTATACTGATTTATGTGTGTATTTCCCTAGAGCAGTGGTTCTCAACCTGCCTAATGCTGCGACCCTTTAATACAGTTCCTCATGTTGTGGTGACACCCCAACCATAAAATTACTTTTGTTGCTACTTCATAACTGTAATGTTGCTACTCTTATGAATCGTAATGTAAATATCTGATATGCAGGAGGTATTTTCATTGTTACAAATTGAACAAAATTAAAGCATAGTGATTAATCACAAAAACAATATGTAATATATATTGTGAAATATTTATTTCTAATTACAAATAAGTGAAATTTTGTCATGAAGCATGGTGTAGCATGGGTAACAGTCTTAATATAACAACAGTAAACTACATTGCTACATTTTGCGACAGTATGAGTAAAAAGCCAACGTCAGTGCCAAGGGTGAGATTGCTTCTTTCTCACCAGATCAGAAATTCTCGGAGCAGTCCTTGAAGGAGCACAGCGAAGATCATCTTCCACAAGTCTGCTTCTGCATTTAGACTTGATACCCTACAAGCTGGAAAACCCTGTTTCACAAAGATATGTTGTTGGAAATGGAAGAAGAAGGCACAACACAGTCTCAGACAGAACAGGCTATGACTGCAAACACTGGATCCAGAACTTTGTAACTGGCATTGTAGAGAAATCAGTTCTCACTGCATTGCTGTTAATAAATTCAATGAACTCCTCTTGTGCTGTCTCAGGAACATCTTCAACTTTGACTGTGAATGGGCTTCTGGCAAGTGCACATGGGGTGTCAGGTAGATTTGGAAAGTACAATGAAATTTCGTCTGCAAGCATGTGCAAGTGTTCTTTCACAGAAAGTATCATCGTAATCCTTTTGTCTGGTTCAATGTCATGTTCCTTAAAGAAAGCAGATAAGGTAGGCAACATGTAAATTTTATTTTCATCCAATTTTTTTTTTGCCAAAGCTGAAGTTTCACTTGGAATGATTGGATCTTTTCAGACAAACCGAGGCATGTTGCATTTGGTCCTTGCAGTGATAAATTTAACTCATTCAAGGTGGCAAAGATGTCAACCAAGTAAGCTATTTTCTGCAGCTTCTTCCAGGCAATCCCACCCACCACTGCAGACTTCTCAGGCCACTCCCATATGCAAGACCACACTGAGTGGGGACTGAATGGTCAGCAGGGGGAGCCAAAGGACAAGTAATTGGACTGTCAAAAGCCCTATGAGCATGCAAAGGGCTGCCTGACCGTGGGCTCCATCATTCCCAGCCCTGTACCTTGATTTCAAATGGGAAGGCAAAAAAGAAAGGGGACAAATTTTTTACCTCAAATTTGGGGCAAAGACTGGGGAAACACAGACACACATACACATTTTTTTTTTAAGTTTCTTCTCAGTTTCTTGGAGAGGTTTTTACTACCAAACTCATTAATTTCCTGATCAAGTTTTGGATCATACATCTGTATGTTTCTAAATTAACACCATGACTCCAGGCTGTGAACAAGGACAAGAAGGTGCATTAAAAAGACTTTTGCCCAGGCCAGATAGCTCAGGTGGTTAGAGCATTGTCCTGGTACGCCAAGGTTGCAGGTTCTACAGGAAACAACAGGAAACAACCAATGAAAGCATAAATAAGTGGAACAACAAGTCAATCAATCTCTCTCTCTCTCTCAAATCAATAAATAAACTTAAAATGTTTTAAATACAAAGAGTTTGTTTTTTGTTTTTTAATCCTCACTTTTTTTTTTTTTTTTTTGCATTTATCTTCCGATAGAGTGGGAGGGAGAGAGGGAGGAAGAGAGAGAGAAACATCGATGTGAGAGAGACACATCAAGTGGTTGCTACCCACATGACCCCAACCAGGGCAGGGGACAAACTGCAACCGAGGTACATGTGCTTAGGGGGAACCAAACCCAGGATTCTCTGGTCCGTGGGCCAATGCTCTAACCACTGAGCAAAACCAGCCAGGGCAATATAAGAAGAGTTTTGACTCATTTCTGGGGGGCAGTTCTCCAAGGGGAGACTGTGACATTGCCTTCCCTCTGAGAGACAAGAGTAGACACAGGGGCTTTTGGCTTGGTTGGGAATTTGAGTGTTTCCTCACTTCTTTTAAAGAATATGCCACTACAATGCCTGTTTTCTATATTCCCATATTCTGGTATAATATGTCACGTTTTAGGTACCAAAATATTAGTATCTTTGTTGGTACAACAACATTACTTCTGTATATTTTAAAAATCTATTTATATATTTATTTATTTATTTATTTACATAAATCTATTTATAGATTTATTTATATAAATTTATTTATATATGGTGCTGTGCCTAAGAACCATTGGTTACATTAAATTTCGAATCTGCCCTGGCCAGTTTGGCTCAGCAGTTAGACCATCAGCCTGCAGACCAAAGGGTTTCTGGTTTAATTCAGATCAAGGGCACATACCTGGGTTACAGGTTCAAACTCTGGCCCTTGTCAGGGTCATGCAGGAGGCAACCAATTGATGTCTCTCTCCCTCTCTCTCCCTCTCTCTCCCTCTCTCTCTCCCTCCCTCCTTCCCTCCCTTCCACTCTCTCTAAAAATCAATGGAAAAATATCCTCGGGTGAGGATTTAAGTAAATAAATAAATTTTCCAATCAAATAAAAGTTTACCTGCCTAGAAAGCATTCTTCTACACATCCATAATTCAAAAGAGGGGGGAGGAATGCCAATCACGTCCCTTCTGCAAGAATTACTCTTATCATCTCTGAGCAAGTGAAGCAGACATTTCAGCACTGAAATTGATTCCAGTTCCTCTGCACAATAATCTCTATTCACAAATAAAGTAATTAAGGAAGACGAAGCAATTGATAATCTTTCAAACAGAAACTATAGCTTACAATTAACAACAAAGACCACAAGCCCCGAAAAATATCCAAAAGTATCTCAAAGTTATCAAATCAGAAATAGGGTTATATGCCCTGGTTGGTTTGGCTTGGCGGTTAGAGCGTCGGCCTGCGGTCCAGAGAGACCCGGGTTTGGTTCCTGCTAAGGGCACGTACCTCAGTTGCAGTTTTTCCCCGCCCTGGTTGGGTCATGCGGGTGGCAACCACTCCCCCCAACTCTATCTGAACAAAATATCAAAAAATGTCCTCGGGTGAGGATAAAAAACAAAAACAAGAAATAGGGTTATATGAAGATGGAATCGGCTGCTCCACCCTCGTCATCTGGGTGTAGAAGCAGTGTTTTCAGCAGCTGGGAAACTATCCACAAAAATGCATTCACTACTCATGAACAGCACCATTGATAAAGACTGACTTTTAAGATTTCACTTTCTTTAAGAGACCATTTCATTTTCAAAGTTAATGAAAATTTCTTTATTTTTATCTAGTGTTTAGTTTACTTTTTGAATACTATTTTATCACCTTTATCTACTAATTTAGATTAGAATAATAACACATATTTAATGTTGATGGTTTCAGGGCAGTCTGCCCCAAGATATGTCAGACTGGAGTGGGCATTATTTCAAACTAAAACAAGCAAGGCCCCGAAGTCTCAGGGAGTGCCTTTGACTTTCCACCAAACTGCTTATAAGAATATAAAGTAGAAGGACTGTTCCAAGAACTTTCATTATAGATAACCGCAGTCTAATATGAAGGAGGTTTGATGGACAGGGAGGAATCTAGTGCGGCCCTTTTGATCTAAGTCCTCTCTATGGCCCCTGTCTCCAGCTGGCCCAGCAAACATTTGTTTACTAAACATTAACTCTTTTCATCTTTATTTTTTTTTACTTTGTTAGGGGTGACAAACTTATCCTCAGAGGCTGACTCTGTCTTTGCCAGCAATTTATTTAGCACAGGTTCACTGTGGGAATTAGAACTTCATAAGCCAATAGCGTACAGAATGATATCTCTTACTGAGACATAAAAAGAAATACCATCCTCTAAACAAATGACAGATTAATCATGCTATTGTTCCAGGCAAGGGGAGGTGAAAGTGTTCAAAGAAATATCCAAAATGGAGTCACCCTTGCTAAGCCATGTTACCAAACCAAAATTTAATACTGAGTTATCAAGATGTCAGCAGAGTAGTCTAGTATGGCTCAGTTAGTTGCATGATGTCCCATACACCAAGAGGTCATGGTTCAATTCCCAGAGTACATGCCTAGGCTGCAGGCTCAATCCCCAATAGGGTGCATGCAGGAGGCGGCTGATCAATGTTTCTATTTCTCTCTCCATCTCCCTTCTTCTCTCTCTAAAATCAATAAAAACATATTTTTTAAAAAGATAGTGGCAGAATAGGTGAAACCTTCTTGCACCTCCTTCCAGAACCAAATTGGAAATAAAACCAAATTAGTGAACATTCGCCCTGAATTACCAACTGAACTTGTCAAAAAGAATACTTTTAATAAGGAAAGGCAGAAAACACCCCGACATTGCACCTGCACAATAGCTCACATGGTGTGGTCAGGTTTGAGCCTCACAGCCAGCCAGCCTGAGGGGGGATCCCACCCACAAATGGGACAATAACAATCAAGACCCAGTTACAGTCTGGCCGGTATAGCTCAGTGGATTGACTGTCATCCCATGGACTGAGAGTTCTGGGTTCAATTCATGGTCAGGGCACATGCCTGGGTTGCAGATTTGATCCCCAGTAGGGGGCGTGCAGGAAGCAGCCAATTAGTGTTTCTCTCTCATATCTATGTTTCTATCTCTCTCTCCCTTTCTCTCTTTCCAAAAAATCAATAAAAACATTTTTTTTAAAAGACTCAATAACAACAGAAGAGCTCAAATAACCTACACAGGGACATTCCTAGAGCATCTAGCTCAGGAGATCAAAAGACTGCACCACTGAGTCCCAGAGGCCACTTACTATATAAGGCTAGCCCATAAAGGCTAGGAGTTATAGCAGTTCTAATACATTGAAACAAACACAGAGAGACAGATAAAATGGAGAGGCAACGAAACAACCTCCAAATGAAAAAAAAAAAAGGAGGACTCTCCAGAAAAAGAGCTAAAGGAAATGGAGGCAAACAATTTATCAGGTACAGAGTTCAAAGTAATAGTTATAAGGATGCTCAGAAAACTTAGTGAGAATTATAAGGAACTTAGTGGGAACTACAACAGCATGAAAAAGGAAATAGAACCATGAACAAGAACCAATCAGAAATAAGAATATTATATCTGACATCAAGAATACACTGGAAAGAATTAAAAGTAGATTGAATGAAGCAGAGGATTGAATCAGTGATTTGGAAGACAAGGTAGAAAAAACAATTAATTAGAGCAGAGAAAAATTTTCAAACCAGAAGGATAGTTTGAGAACTTCGGGACAATATGAAATGTAACAATACCTGCATTGTAGGGGTAACAGAAGGAGAAGAAAGAGAGCAAGAAATAGAGAATATCTCTAAAGAAATAATGACAGCCCTGGCCAGTTTACCCAGCAGTTAGAGCGTTGGTCTGTGGACCAGAGTGACCCGGGGTTCAGTTCCCACTAGAGCACATACCTCAGTTGCAGTTTGTTCCCGGCCCCAGTTGGGGTTGTGTGGGTGGCAACTGGTCAGTGTGTCTATCTCGCATTGATGTTTCTCTCTGTCTCTTCCTCCCTCTCTCCCTATCTGAAGATGAATGCAAAAATGTCCTCAGGTGAGTATTAAAAAGGAAGGAAGGAAGGAAGGAAGGAAGGAAGGAAGGAAGGAAGGAAGGAAGGAAGGAAGGAAGGAAGGAAGGAAGGAAGGAAGGAAGGAAGAAAGAAAGAAAGAAAGAAAGAAAGAAAGAAAGAAAGAAAGAAAGAAAGAAAGAAAGAAAGAAAACTTCACTAACTTGGAAAAGGAGAAAGTCACACAAGTTCAGGAAGCACAGAGAGTCCCAATCAGGATGAACCCAAAGAGACCCACACTAAGATACACCATAATTAA